ACACACACACACACACACATAAATAAAAGGTGTCACACATATGGTTAAGCATGTAAACTTTAGATTTGTTTTTTGTGCATTTTACATCTATGACATCCAAAGACCTGCAGGTGGTGCTCCAGTTTAAATATGGTACAGTAAAATTTGATAACTGTGAAAGAAGACAGAGCTGTTTGTTTGCATTTACAATGCCTTAATAAGTGGAAACATATTAACAAAGTAAAACCTGACATAGATAATATAAGAGGGTTTTAAACAGAGACCTCTTGATGCTGTAGAGTCTGGGTTACGTTAACATTATTTCCTTTCTCCTTTAGTTTAATTTCTCAAAAAAGTCTTAATGGATCAAAAATTTAGGAGGTAAATTACAAGCCATAATAGCCAGGAAGTGAGATTTTAAACAGTTTTCACCAGCACATCTTAACAATTACTTCATCATTAAGTTTTTCAGATTATTTCCTGTTTCCTGCAAGATTGCTGTTATCACAGCTTGTCATTCGTGACAATCAGTTGCTGTTAAAGCGCACACTGAAGCCACAACCCTATCCTGCCTGTTTTTACTCCATAACAGATGCTGAAGTGGCCCTTTCCTTACACAGACAATAGTGCTCTGGAACCCTGCAATTTAATTTTTCTGGCCACCTTAAAGAATTTGCACCAGCCCATCCTGTCTTAATTTTTTTGTGTTAAGAAACAAACAAACAAACAGAAAAGAAAAACACAAAAGAAACAAAAGAACAAAAAACAAAACAAGGAAAATATAACAACTCATAACATTTTTTATTTTGATGATTGATGATATGGGCGCTAACACATCAGTCCAGTGCTTGGGTGAGAAGTGTTGCCTGCAAAGCAAAATCAATACCATATAATTCACAGAGTTTCCATTAAACCATTTAGTGACCCCATTCCTAACAAATGAAAGTGGGTATTTTCAGTCATTTTCATCCTCCTATTGGAGGATATTTTGTGTCCCACCCATGAATTTGAAAAATAATCCATGCTAAAGCATCTGTTGTGTAAACTACACCTGTCCTGAGACATAATGTAAACCTAGTTGTTGAAAAAGTGGTTCCAAAATAATGTTAAAAAATGCAAAATATCTCTTGATTGTCTTCCAATTGTAAAATAATGTTTAAAAGGAAATGATTATCTTACAAAAAAAATGGAAGAAAAAACCAGTGGCATACTCTTTTAATTTGGCTCATACAACTCACAAAGCTTTGACTGCCATTTTCCACACGCATCATTTGCTGTCACTATAAAAATGCATTTTGTTGTAAGGCATAAAGATCAAAATTTTAACAAAAAAGGTTTGAAATAATTGACTTTACACGTGTCGATAGTAAGAAAAATTAGCTTTTTCTCGACTGTATTTTCTGTATTTAGAGAAGCGCGAGTGTTCTGCTTATCAGACTACGGTTGCCTAGAAGTTCAAAACCACCTTTCCCTTTCGCGTTTCGTTAGGATCGTCCCTCTGAGCCACCGTAGCAATGATAAACATTGACAAGCAGCTGTTCCGTTAGTATTATGTTACAGAGCTCACGTGTACGATATTACTGCGTGGAGTGCATCCGAGTGTTGTAGAATAAACCTACCCGTGGCTCTAATAAAGCGATGGATCCCGTCATAAAAATCAACCCGGGTAGGTCAAGTGTTTTGTAAAACGTTTGTTTTGCCGTTGAAATTTTTGTTAAAGTCGTCGATTCGCTAAATGTGATGCTGAAAACGTAAATGTTGCTTCGGTTAGCGTTTATGTTAAACTCCAATTTTCTCTCCAGGAGGATCGAAATGGGACATTCGTCAGAAAGTTTGGGACTACATAGAAGAAAAGAATCTGGCAAACTTTCCGAGGCCCGTCCACAACAGAATCCCAAATTTCAAGGCAGGTTAAAGCAGTTTAGCTGAAGAGCTGCAGCGCAGTTCTCATTCAAATCAATGCACTGGCAGGTCAACCTCTGCCACTAGTCTCCAGTTTTTTCCTCCCTCCTTCTCGAATTAAAAAAATATATATATACTTGAAAAAAAGAAAGAAGAGGAAAAATCTGAGCCTGTGACTGTCTGGGTTATATGTAAAGTACTGTAAGTAAATAAATAACTGAAGAAAATAATAAGGGCTGTAGGGGTGAAATTCTTGCTACACTCAGGGTACCAGCACAGCTTCTGACTGATGTTCTTAAATTTTGAATCACTAATGGCTGTCTTGTCTCTGTGCATGCATACATGTCTTTTCCTGTGCACCTATTGACCAGGGTGCAGGTAAGGCATGTTACAGCCTTGCAGGCCTGCAGGAGTTCAAGTCCAGCCAGACAGTCAAAGTTAACCCAGACAGACCCCAGCAGCAGGCACGCTTTATCACCTTGGAAGTAAGTTGACTTGAGGAACCTATGATCAGATGCCTTCCTTTCTGCTGTAGGGTGCTTTTGCAGCCTGCGCCAAGGTGTTGGAGCTGCAGGCGTTCATCCACACATCTGAGGTGAAGGTGGATCCTGACAAACCTCTGGAGGGTGCTCGGCTGGCAGTGCTGCAGGTAGCACTGCAGTGTTGGAAAAAAAAACCAAGAACCAGAGTGCCTCAGGCTGGATTACATGATTTTCTTTTGAATTTTTAAATGCAAGCAGAATTTTAAATGAGAAATTTTAGACTGTTTTATTACTGTCTAGAACAGGGGTGTCAAACTCCAGTCCTCGAGGGCTGGTGTCCTGAAACTTTTAAATGTGTTCCTGCTGTAGCACACCTGAATAACTTAACTAGGTCATTAGCAAGACACTATAGTACTTAACTGCATGCTGAGGTGGCAACCCCTGAACCTGCTCAAGTAAATTGAAGTAAAGTGTTTGGAAAAATTTACTTCTAAAAGTACTTTTATTGCACCATGTTCATTCACTCATGAGCTGCTGTAACATGAATCAAATGGCTGAAATGCCACCTCGGCATGCAGTCAAGTTCTATGGCAGGGGTGTCGAACTCCAGGCCTCGAGGGCCGATGTCCTGGGTGTTTTAGATGCGTCCTTGATCCAACACAGGTGATTTAAATGGCTAAATGAGCTCCTCAACATGTCCTCAGGTTCTCCAGAGGCCTGGTAATGAACTAATCATTTGATTCAGGTGTGTTGACCCAGGTTGAGATCTAAAACCTGCAGAACACCGGCCCTCGAGACCTGGAGTTTGACACCCCTGTTCTATGGAGTCTTGCTAATGACCTACTTATGTTATTCGGGTGTGCTGCAGCAGGGACACATGGAAAAGTTTCAGGACACCGGCCCTCAAGAACTGGAGTTTGCACCTGTGGTCAAGAATTTGCTACATAAGATTGTTTAAGTTATTGTATAATATCCTGTAGGTTCTTTGTAAAGTCACATTTCAGCCACATCAGTGTTTTGCATCAGTTAAATGTAAATGTTTTTGTTTTTTGTAATTTTGCCATCACTCCACTGATTTTATTCAGCTCAGTTTTAATTTCTAGTCCTATTAAATAACTCAGGATCTTTTTTTAAATTTAATTTTATTTATTTTTATTTATTTATTTTTAACATTTTACTGAAATAATTTTTGCAGGCACGGAAAACTTTGTTGGTCCCAACTCCTCGTCTTCGTACAGGCCTTTTCAATAGGATTACTCCACCTGAAGGGGCTAGCAAAGAACAACTACGCATATGTTCTTCCTCTCAGGTATAAATGTACTAATGTTTGCTCTTATTTGTCAGCATTGTCATTCCTCTTTAAATTCCCAATAATGATAATTAGATTTTCTTTCTTCTTTCTTCTGAAACCTTCAAACCATCTCCAGGGTGTGAAAGACTTCAGTGTACCTGTTGGCCTGGATGCAAAAATTAAAATTGACCTGATGGTGGTTGGTTCTGTGGCGGTGTCGGAGAAAGGTGACTTATACACCATGTCACGATACTATTTCAGTTTCATATTGGTAACCTAAATGATTTATGATTGTGGGAGAGCAACAGAGCAGTGAATTCAAGACCAAGTTTACCATACATGCACTAAAATATATAAAATCTAAAGAAAATGCAGTACTCCTTAAATAGTAGTTAGAACCACGTGTGCAATTTACTGTCTATTATTGCAGAATAGACAATATTTTTTCAGTTCAAAGTGAAACAATTTTTTTCTTTATTTTCATATATACAATAGTAACACTGTTGGATACTTATATTAAACATGGCCAATGTTTCAGCCAATGAGTTTAGGGTGTATATATAAGCCAGCTGAAAGGTGGCCTAAAGGAGACGAGTGAAAATGGTGTCACAGAGATTATGAACGGAGAGACTGCAGCAAGGTTAGTTTAGTCAACTGTGCTGCAGTCCAAGAGGAAAACTATGCTGCAAATGAGCTCAATAGGTCTCCTTGAACCTCTAAAGGTGGAAAAGGCCGCATGTGCTGCAAAACCTGCTTTTTCAAGCATGAATTTACAATTATTAGCTGAGTAATGAACAACATAGTCTGTTATTATATAGCGATTCTCCTAAATCACTACTTGGGTGATTATAAATTGTTTTATGCAAGGCTTGTTTACTACACAGTGGAAAATGATGAGAGGCTGTGCTGACTGAAAGCAGAATGGAACAAAGGTATTGTGATTGCTGCACGTGTCTAAGCCTATTGAGGCACTTCTGCACACTCTGCCAGCATAGAGGAAAAAGAGCAGAAATAAGATTGAGGCAGATGTACGTAATCAGATCCCTTCTGCTTATTGTGGCTTCTCCTGTGTTCTTCCCGCCATGTAAATTGTCTGCTAACCGCACTCCATGGTGATCCTCATTTCTAAAATGCCCAAGATAACTCATGCAGTACTGCAGCGAAACACATGTTTTACTGTAAGGCAGTATAAAGGAGTTTACAAATCTCCAAAAGGATTTCGTAAACTGCACAGTATACATTTTTAAATTAAGTTTCCCTCTCTGCCTTCCGCTGTAGGCTTTCGGATTGGAAAAGGAGAAGGCTTTGCTGACTTGGAGTATGGAATGATGGCTTCAATGGGTGCCGTGAATGAGTCTACTGTGGTGGTTACTGTTGTCCATGACTGCCAGGTTGGTTTGCGCATTCAGTTTGATCTCACTGAGCAGTTCAAATGTTTTATGGATCTTGTTTTGCAATAAGCAGCTTGTCCCTTTTTACAAAGCTAAAGAACACGTTGGTATTAAAATGAGGAATAATACAGTTTTAAATAAAGATGTGCAGCTCGAACTGACATGAACAAACATAGTTTAGAGTTTTTTTTGTTTTCCTCCCACTTGTTGTTTCAGCATTAGTAATTTGAATACTTGAGGAATAACTGTGCTTTCAGGTGATGGACATTCCAGAAGATCTAATGGGAAGTCATGACCTGACTGTAGACTACATCCTCACACCGACCAGAGTTATTAAAACAGATTGCCAGTTGCCTAAGCCATGTGGAATCATCTGGAATAAGGTAACCTGAGTGTGCTTGTTTTTGCTTTGTGTAAAGCATAGTAGTTATTTCATAGTCAACTTGATTTTGAGAGGTCAAGGCTGCCCTGACCTGATACATGTCATTCCTCGTGTCTCCCCTCAAATCTCTGTGATGGATTTATCTAGAAGAGGGGCATACAAAAAAGCGTTCAGTAAAGCATAGCTGAAAGTAACTGATTTGAACACTGGAAAAATTATGACGTTAATGCCTTTATCTATGAAAGACTTAACATCTGTGATTAATGCTTCACTCTTAGTATGTGGATTTCCATTACTGAAAAATAATGTTATTGGGAAAATCCTGCACCTTTTAAAAATGTTTTTCAGTCAATAATCTGATAATATGGATGTTCCAGTAAGATGACTTGCTCTGAAAGTATGTTTTTCATGAATGTTTGATCAGGTCTCCACCCCTGTTGTCATTCAACATAATGAAACCGGCATTTAGAGGGAGAATAAATGCCCAACACTAAATTTAAAAAAAGAACAAAAAAAACAAAAAACAACTGAAGTTTTTGTGTTCAGAAAGTATACATTAGCTTGTACTAATCTCTTCTACAATTTAGGACAAGACGAGATATGACACTAGCACACATGAGTCTTCATAATTACTTCATGGGATCAAATATTAACATAGAGTTTATAGGAAAATGCGCTGCTTTGGTTACATGACAAAAATGTTGCGTTTCCTTAGTAACACTGCCCTCTAGTGGACACATAGAAAACCTACAGCTCACTGGAGGATGGTCTATCCAGCATTGTTTATTCTTCTGAGTGCACTTACTGTAATAATGCCATTTTGCCAAAAAAAAAAAAATTCCAGTTATTTTATTTTTTATTTCTTAGAAATAAAAAAAAAAGTTTTAGTTTTTATGGATGGTGTGTACAGTGCACACTTATGTAAAATTGTTTACTTTAAAAAACAAACACAGTTAATTAGTTTGTTTTATCTTGGGAATTTTACTGATATATTTATAGTGCTTTATCAGCCTTATTTACCACTCATTTCACATCATCGTCTGTATTTAAATCAGCCTGGACCATAAACAGCTTCTGATTTACTGACAGTGGCACAAAGATGAAATGTGTTTTTCCTCTTGATAATTTATCTTTAATTAGACATAGGTAAAGGTTATTTTTCTTATGTGGTAAGTTTGTGTGTAACCTCTGGGTTCCTTACAACATGCATATAAGTAAACAGGACCCAGTGACCTCATAGACAGGAAGGCCGCGTCTGATCATCAAAGGCTTCTCTGCCCAGCCACCTTGGCTCTGCAGGGGCAGGGGAATGACGGGTCAAACAGGCCAGTGTAAAAACAATAGGTCCGTATATCCTTTACAGGACTGGTCAGCATCAAAGTCTGCCAAGACACTTGAAGACCCAACAAATCAAGATAGCAGTCTTTATTTTTAACTGCTTGGGAAGTGAAATATCCTGCTGGTATTAAGATGGTTTTTAAGCATGGGCTGTGAGGAGCTATCAGCTTTCTCTTTATTATGAATAGGTGCATTGCATCGGCCCTGAGCAGGTCTGTTTGTATGCTGTGTGAGACACATTTTTTTCGTTTCAGCATTACTGAGTCTGTCCAGTTTTGTCTTCAGCTGGACACAGAAAAGCTGCAAAAGATCCCCATCCTGAAGAAGCTGCGTGCTCTTGAAGAACAAGCTGGAAAGGATGTAACACTGGGGGCAGCGCCTGTTGCGGCAGAAGCTGGTCTGCACGCCAGTCAACCCAAAAGGCAAACCAGACGGAGGCTGAGGCCAAACACACAGCAGGATGCTGAGGGAGAATCCAGCCAGGACTCTAGACTGGAAAAAAGAATAGCGGGAGAACCAAAAGCCAGACAGCATCTGACTAGAATGAATAAAGAAAGCAGAGGAGACGGCAAGGCAGGTAACGAGCAAGAAATTGGCAAGACAATAAAGGGAAAAAGTAGAGGGAACACAAAGGAGCAGGTCCCAGAAGAGGGTGGAAATGAAGTCAAATCTCAGCGTAAGCTCCATCTGAGTGTGACAACAGTTTATCTGGGAGGAATCCCTGCTGGGCTGCGTGTTAGTGAGCTGAAAACCGCCCTCCGAGAGAGGGAGGCCACTCCACTGAGACTCACCTGGCAGGGAGCTCAGCACAGGGCCTTCCTGGATTACAGTGACCCCCACGCTGCAGATCAGGCCCTGGAGGCTCTGCAGGGGCTCGCTCTCAATGGTCACAGTCTGCAGGCTGAACTGGCCAAGAGCCAGCGAGGAGGCAGGAAATCTGGACAATCCAGTAGAAGACCAAAACCAGCAGCGGCTCCGAAGTCTGAAGTATCAGCACCAGATGCTAAGAGTGATGCCACAGAAAAAACTGAGCAGTAAAAGCAGTAAGAAATATACCTAATGTAATGCTTAAGTTGTTTACAGTTTTGGACAACTGCAAACACCATAAAAGGAGTTGATTGTTTTTTTTTGCTTTAAAAAAATATGAACAAAAATGTGATTTATTAGAAGAGAACACATTTGAACCTAGCAGGCATGACTAAATATTAACAACACCTGAAACTATGAGAGTAGTGAACCTTGTGCTGATTTGAATCCAGACAAATTCTATAACGACTAAGATTTTGCTATATGCTCTGTTAAATGGGCTACAGGAGCTTTCTTTCTTTAAATTTGTCCCAATCGTTTTCTCTTCAAAGTGCCTTTATCAGAGATTCTTAGAAACACAACACTCATTTTCTCTTTCAGTCTACAAACTGCATGCAGTGCTTTTGCTACCATACAATAATTTAAAAAAAGAATAGTAAAAAAGGCTAGTGCTTTTTTTTTCTTTTTCTTCTTCTCAAAACTAGCTGTCAGTATTATCACATCCATGATGTTGCCAGACCTGTTTGTCTGCATCCTACTTGTTTAAAAATGGGTTCGTTTTGTTCAAAATGGCACCTGCGTGTGGCAAGTCACAACATTTGATCATTTGAGTCACAAAACTGGGAGTAAAATATAACATTTCATCATCTAACAAAAGTCTAGCCACGCAGGCTTCTACCTTTGACCATTTTTGTCTTTTTCATTGTCCAAATTCATCCAGATTTACAGAACTGGTGAACAGACTCCAAGTGTTTAAAGTTTAATGAACTTTAATGAGACTACAGAAATGTAAAGAGTTTACAAATAACCGTGACTTAGTTGTGATTTTCTTGGCTTGATTGATTCTTGTACATAACACGGGATTATTGGATAGTCTCTACTACTGTATAATTTTCTTTTTTCTCTTTTTTTTTTTTTTTTTTAAACCATGAAAATCTAAAACAGGCAGATTACAACGATAAACTGGGGAAGAGCTAAAGGCCTCTATTGCTGCTGTTCTGTTTTCTTTGTTTTTTGTTTTGTTTTTTAGCTAGCGTTCATTTTTACAGTTATATTTGCACCATTATAGTGACTAAATACAAATTTATTCATTGTATTTGGTGTGGTTGGGCCAGTGAGAGAGTGATGCTGCCCTCAATATTAGATAAATTTGCTTCACATGACTTTACTTATTTCTTCACTAAAGCGTTTGACTGTACCCGTTAACACTGAGTGTCTTTTTATGAAAAACAAACAAAAAAGAAAATTGATGGATTATAAATGTTCACAAGGTTTTGCAGAATTTGGAGATCCGACTCTGAAGTTCCCCACCACCTCAAACCATCGTTCTGGTGAAGAGGCAGAACTATGTTGTTAGTGGTTAAATATGATATTTCAGGCCCGTTATTGGATTTTCATAAAACTTGATGTGTTTCACCCAGTTGTAACATATAAAATGCCAGCTTGTAAACTTGAAATAGTTTTTTTTTCTTCTGTTTACACCTGTCTCTGTAGCTGCACTGCCATTACCTAAGAAATTAACCCATAGATGTCCTGTTTGCACTAAAGTCTTGGCAGGATTGGGACACAAGCAGTGTGTCTGTCTGCACAGTACCAGGCCTCTGGCTTTTTATGGAGCTGTCATCCAGGCCTGGCCAGGGAACAGCTGTGGAACGCCATCTCTCTCCCTCAGCCCTCCAGAGCACTGAACCTTGGCAAATGTCATCAGTTTGTTAATGCTCTGTTCCACTGCTGTTAAGCCTGCTTACCCCTGTGCTCAATGGCATGCTCGTTTTACTGGGGTTCAGTCAGTGGTCATGTGGTGAGATTGCAAAGCGTATCACTGTGGAGCATGTTACATCCCCTTGTAAAGATGTAGTTGTACACACAAACATCAGCAAACATGACTTAACCGTCAAGATTAAAGAAGATAACAAAAGGCCTCAAACCGCAGTTGGTTTACTTAATCTAAATCACAAGCATGAGCATCGGATTAATCTACACTGACTGTGTTGATGCACTTAATAGATTGTACCCACCATACTCTTACATTAGGAACAACTTTTTAAACGCCATAAATGTTGCTTGAAACTTGAAGAAATGTAAAATAAGAAACGACGTCCGGATTTTTTTTTAATTTTAATTTTTTATTTTTTAATGATTTGCGGTCATTCAGATGAAAAAATTGCCAAATTGGTTTTAAGCCGCACAGACATGCGTGTTTGTGAATGTCGAAAAACAACAGTTATAATTAATGGATCAGAAATCTGATAAAGAAAAAAAAAAAAACGTGTCCCTTATAATAATTTGCATCTGTAAAATTAAAATATTTTGACTCTGAGATAAGATAACTAGGATTTTACACAGTACAATACACGTTATGCGTATTATTTATGAGTACTTTTAACTGCTTATTATTTTTGTCTTTGCAGTATCATGAGTGGTATATCTATTTTATGTAACAAAAACAACTCATTTTAGATGAGAAATAAAGATGTTCTTCTTTATGAAAAATCGGCCCTACTTTTTTTTCTTTGTTTTTCATTTTCCTAGGCCAATTTTCTGTTGTACAATTACGCATTTTGCGGAACACTCCAAAACTAATTAAAGTTATGCTCCTTAAATTAGATCAGCGCAATTTATTGTATTTCCACCATGGCAAGAAATGTTCTTTGGACAAATGCGTCTGAGGAAAACAACTGCCTCACTGCCAAAGCAACGGGACTGCTGCAGGTTTTCACCCTGTAACCAGACGCGTGTGAGATCTCTGCCTCGGATTTGTTACGCCTTAACTACTGCACACTCTCAACAGATCGAAGACATGTTACGATTAACCTTTCAAACCCTTGACTGTTAATGTTCACCAGTCGACCAATGGATTGGGAAATGTTTAGTTTCTTCTAATAATTCTAATTTTCAAAGCTGGACATCAACTGTAGGTGAAAACAACAGACTGCTGCAGTAATTGCTTGAAATAGAAGACCTAACTGCACCACAGTGACAACTGTCTGTAGTACCGAGGGTACCGGTTGTGCTTTAAACCCCAAATAAACGAACCATCGCTTTACATTAAAGAATTGCAATAATATACATTTACACGAGAAGGCTGCTGAAGAATTGGACACACACACAAAAAAAGCTTCCCATCTTTAAATAAGCTAATTTGGGGTTAATTATGCAATAAGGATCACTGTCTTTGCATCTGTTTACAAGGCATGTTTGCTTGCAGGACCATCGCCCCCGAAAATTGTCTGTGTGCGATAAAATCGAAATGGATGTCGTTTGGTGGAATTGCCGGCTTAAAGAGCCGAAAAGATATTTTATTTCTTAATGCTTTGTTGTAATATAGTCTAAAGACAAACCCTCGCTGGTGGACCCTTTGCTAGACTCCCCCCCCCCCCCTTTCTTCTACCAATGTATACAATGCTGAAAGTAATGGTCTACATATAGCTGACACAAAAGACATAACAGTGTTTACAATATATCCTCAATTTTTCATTTTAAAACAAATAATAAGCGTTCTGACAAATATTGCCAATAAAGCATATAACTCCTTGGCCAGTTCGCCTGAAATTAAAATATAGGCCTACAGAATAAATAAAAAAAAGTTGCGCTTATAGGTTATTCAAAAAGTGCCGTCATTGTTTTTACACAGTATACAGTATATGGACTTACATGATACAGGCTATGTAACGTCCATAATTGTTCATCTCAGAATCTAACATTTGTATGCAAGTCCAAAAAAATGAAAGGAAAAAAAAGGTAAAAACATGAGACAGGGAAATGTGTGCATTTTTTTTTCTTTTTTTTCTTTTTTTTAAACATTGACCTACTTTAACAAGATGAATACACAAGAACAAAAGTGTGAAGTGGTAGTCATCCGCTCTGCAGGACTAAGTACCAAACAACAGCAGGGTGTCTTACGCCCACGCTTTACCCCGCTGGTCGATGTTGATGAAGATGGCATAAAAGAGTTTGTTTTAATTATTATTATATATTATTATGTGGTTGCTTTCTAATTGGCCTGTCTCCGTGTCTCTGTCGCTGTGTGTAACAGCACAGAGAAGTAGTCCAATCTACTTGAAGCAGTGAGCACTCTCCAGGACTGGGGCATGCCTCTCAGTGGTAGTTTACTCATTCGTTGTTCATTTCAGTCCGTTTTGCTTCATGGCTCAAGTCTGTGACACCATCTTCTAGTCTCTAGACTGTCCACGGAGGACATCACATCACGCAGGGCTTAATGTCCTGGTAGGAGACCTGTTGGTGGTGATAGTAGGAGCCGCTGCTCGGTGAGTGCATGGCTGAGGAAGTCATGGCGTTGAACGAGAAGACGAACTCCTTTCGGTCACACATGCTGGGAGACTGGGAATGGTACCGAGGAATACCTGCAAAAAAGCATTTAAAACATGAATGGAAATGCTACTAATAATAATAATTTTAAAGGGTCACTTTTAAATGTAATGTACTTGAAGGCTAGTAACCTATGTTACCTTGTGTTCCCCAGTTAAGAAAATTGTTGTTTATAGTTCTGAAATAAAAAGTTATTTAAATGCTTACAAGTTATTTGCAACACGATTTGATTGGTAATCTTGCTGATACTAGACTAATTACCCAGTTCTACAGACCTTCGCTATGCGTTCTGGAAACCCTAATAATAAAACTGTTATATGTGGTGATAATAATAATAATAATAATAATAATAATATGCTCTATATCTACCATATTTTACCGCAAAAAGATTGCTGTATGTGTAGGCACTTTATATTCTGTGTAAGAAAGAAGTTTATATTTGTAAATTGAGCTTCACTCTATTATACTAACTGAAATGCATGCATTCCTCTTAGGGCCAGAGTCCATTTAGTAAACCCGATAAAGATTGTCAAAAGGGGAGGCGGGCTTGCAGGGCTAATTGACAGTGGCCCCTTTGCACGCCAGTCCCGGAGGACCGAGAGCCTCGAGGCAAGGCAGACTGGACCTAACCGCGCTTGTTTTTTTTGTTTTTTTGTCCACAGATTGGCGTGACTCTAAACTCTCCCGGTAGACTCTTTCAACCATCTCTTGATTTATGATTTTTTAATACCACACGTTCAGGAGGTTTGAACCCCTCTGGTCTTCTGTCTGGGTTTTATTTTAATAAACCTGATTTATTATGTTTAATGATTCACAAAATACTGGAACTTTATTTACGAAAAAAGTGGTTAAGTTGTGTTGTATCATTTCCTTAATAGCCTTAATTCCAACCCCTCAATTATGCACAGCACAGATAAGCCTTATGTTTACTGACTGCAGAATAAATCCGGCGCATTTCAGTGTGATGCTCTTCAGAATTACTCAACATTTCCACTAGGCCCAAGTTTGGCGCATGATATGTGAAATAAAATTCTGTAAACCACAGACATATGTGGACAGTATATTATCTCTGTCTCTATCCTCTAATAACCAAAGCGTCTTAATTTGAATAAAATCTTTCGTTTCCTTTATCTTTGTCATAGCTCGCAAATGTTCTTTATATCATCAGGCCCGGCTTCTCTGAACCTTTTGCGCTTTTTTTTTTAAATTAGAAAATTAAATATATATATATATACACACACACACACACACACACACACACACACACACACACACACACACACACACACACACATATATAAACTTACCTTGTAAATCTGTGGTGCTGTGGCCATTCTGGTGCAGGTATGGTTGGTCTAGTGAATGTGTGGGCAAACTTGGCTGCAGTGGGTTCGCTCCTGGATTACAGGGGGACAGAGGCTGCTGCTTGATGTAGGAAGCCCCGTTATTCAATGAGGCCGAAGGGGCTGGAGCCCACGCAGAGGCTGAACTCGAGTATACGGGATGAGGCTCCATGACTCCTCCGCTGGTGAGCAGAGGGGAGGCGGAATTGTCGTGGTGGGGATAATCACTCCCAGTGGATCCTGTACAACTTCCCATGTAGGAATGTCCACTGTTGGTCGACAAGTGTGACATGGAGTGTCCGGACAGACCCATCCCTTCCATGTTACCTGCCAAGTGTCCATTCATCATCCCAATCCCACTGTCCAGAGACAAACTGTTGGGCGGACAGGATAGGCCCCCGCCGCTCCCTTGGAAGTTGTAAGACTCGGGGATGTGGTTGAATCCCAGGCCGTTCATCATGCTGTACATGGGCTTCAGCGCCTGGCACTTGCGCCTAAAACCCCTGGGTCTCCTTCTGAAGGAGCCTTCCTCGAACATAAACTCACTAGCCGGGTCAATAGTCCAGTAGTGTCCTTTCCCCGGTCGACCGAGGCCTTTGGGCAACTTAATGAAGCACTCGTTCAGGGACAAGTTGTGACGCACGGAGTTCTTCCATCCTTGGTACGAGCCCCGAAAAAACGGGAAGCGGCTCTGTAGAAACTGATATATTTCACTGAGGGTCAGGCGTTTTGTTGGAGAGCTCTGAATAGCCATAACTATTAAAGCTATGTAGGAATAAGGTGGTTTCTCTGGTCGTCGGATCCCTGCGTTTGTCTTTTTGGTTTTCGTAGTGGAGGAGGCAGTTTCCATCACCACCGTTTGTCCGTGTGGCTTCTCCGGAGCAGACATCGGGCTGCTCTGGGCAGGAGTCTGTGCTGGGGGCTGCTGAACCTCTGCCGTCATTAGTTAAATTTAATCTTCGAGACGGAAAACAAAAACAGAATTGCTTTTCCACCTATAAAAAATAGTAAGTTAGGTACTAAATTTGTGTCATAAAGAAAAAAATCGAATAATGATAGTGGCGATAGAGGCGAAGGCGCGATTATCTTCTTAGCTGTTGCTTTTGATTCAGTCCTGCAGCAGTCTGAAGCCGGACCGCCTTGTACGCAGTGCCCGAAATGGGATAAAGAGAAGAACAGGAGCCGCTTTCCACTTCAGTTGGTGTGTTGTCGTGCGTCCGAGGAGCTCACTTTTTACTTATCTGTTGCCATCGGCGCATTGGAAGCTGTATGTCTTGGTCATCCTAATGTTGGGACCCGCCCAGTTCCCCGATTGCCCTCCTACTCAAGTGGTGGGCTGTAAGCTTGCACATCTGTGTGCGTTCACTTTTCAGTGAAATCTTTCTTTTTCCTCCGTCCTTACACAGAAATAGAGAATATATCTCACATATAACATTTAATTTCAAGGACCCATACGCTAACACATCCCTCAGAGCACAAATAAATTCAAATGCCCGTTAATGATTTGCATAAGCTTATACTAAGTGAATGCATTAGATTCAGCATTCGGATACAGATTTTGGCTTTGCTTGTTCTCTAATACGATGTTCTTTTTAGGGTTATGATCATTTTAACACTATTTATACAACTCATATCTGTTGTTAAACCTGCAAGCAGTATCCTGCCATTGCAGGCCACATAACCCAAGAGCCACACGACTGCAGCCTTGTTATGTCTCCTTTGTAATTAAAACGATTTAAAGAAAGCTACTTTATATCACATTTTTAGTATATGGAAAACATTTACCAGAGAACATGCCCCTCATATTCAAAACCACCCTCTTGATTTCTGTAAAAGATAGACAGGAACATGGGCAGGATGTTTATACAGCAAAATGTAAACATTTTCCCTGGCCTTCTTTAAATAAAAAATCAAGCAAAAGCCCAGTTAGATCAGCTAATACTCAATCTGATGCGATATGCTTGCCTGTTCGGAGAGTCGATGCTGGACGTTTTAACACATGAATATTGTTTGTGTAATGTAGTCATAATATTTACGCGGGGACGCAAGAGGAGTGAGGTGGAAGCTCCTCCGAACTCTGAACACAGAAACTCGGACTGGGACTTGAGATCGACTTCTGCAGGCACTTCTCCATCGAATGATCGTGGAATTGAAGTAAGGTGGATTTAAGGCTTTCATTTCACAGGATTACTAGTGATGCAGCTCTTTAATCCCCACAGCAGGAGACGTAGAGTGTTCGATTTGCATTATGTTACATAATATAGGACAATTAGAAAAGTTGAGTTCAAATTTGGATCAAGCTCTGCCTTCTTGCACTAAGTGACAGTTTACTTGGAAAATGGTTGTTTTCTTTTTTTCCAACACTGAAAAACCAACTTTAAGATCGCTTTATTGCTCTCTCACAAAATTGCGAGCGAGAGCTACTGGAAGTCGAGGAGTATAGCCTGAAACTGTTGACAGTAGGTTGGTTATTGTTCCCTGGAGATCTCGATAGCTGCAGCCTGCAACCTTTTGAATTCAGTTAGATGAGCGCGTGTTTCTGCTCGCTGTCGGCGTTATTGTTTTTTAGGGGTTCGTGACTGTTGATTTTGGCACCGTGGACATAAATACGAGGCGAATATATGTATTTTGGTTCGTGCGTAAAACCAGTGTTTGACGACTCCATTGTGCGCAAAAATCCTGTAATCTTTTCAAGGAGTTCCGTTTGAGGTGACACATTTTAATCAAACTCAGTGTATAAGTAAAATATCGCGCGGTTTATTAATGTTCCTACTGATTAAATTCCCCAGTGCCAAAACATAAGCGGGCGGTTTTCTTTTGTTCCAAGTAGTTTGCCCAAAGGGAAATCGAGAAAACAATTCTCTGTAAAAAAACAAAAAATCATTGTCAGCCCAAAGGTGATAGCTGTGCCAAGGTTAGATTTTACTGTTGCAGAGGAGATTTAGAACCACGGATAAGTGAATGTAAGTATTGTTTTAACCAGTGCCTGTTCGGCCAATCGCCTGAAGTGAGGGCCACACATTTATCAGCATAGCAGACCACCCAGCGCGCACCAGGGGCAGGCGCGCTCCCGTCCTCTTTCTGCCCACTGCATTTAATTACCGCTGATGACTTCATACCATTCTTTGTCTCACGCTCTTCAGAGTCAGGTTATTTGCAAATATATCTATATATACAAAAGCATTTATATAGCTGAGGGGATATGTCTCTTGTGTTTAAGAAGAAATTATCTGTTTGATGGCCTCTGCTGCGTATTCACACGGTGCAAAGTTATATATTTTCATAATGGAGAAATCGATTAAAGGTATTATTCACCCTCAGAATATCACATAGTACAAGCAGTACAAGAATACAGGAATATTATACAGTACAAGTACAAGAAATGTTCTTTTTTGTATGTAATGGAAACAGCGAGTTTTGAAAATCTTTTTGCCCCCTCCTATGGACAGGTATGCAAACACACACACACACACACACACACACACACACACACACACACACACACACACACACACACACAGATCTAAAACTGCCTAAAAGGTGGCATATTATGTTCATCATCACTGGGGCTGGAGATCCGAGGTCAGAACCTCCCCCTTGCTGTGTCGCAGACGAAGTCGTGCACTTTTCCGTGACGTCGCATCTTGAAATATTTGACAGCGCTGCATCCTCAGGAATGCTTGTCCACTTAGGTGGAGGTACACCGCAGAGCGCACAGTACTGACAAGGCTTTCCGGGTCGCTTCACTAGTATTTACTGAAACAGATTTTCGGTTGATCGCGTTGTTACAATAATCTGCTGACCTGTACGTAGACATTTTTCGTTTGTCACATTCTTACTTAAGAGAGCCTACTTTTCATAGGATCACACCTATGATAGATAATAATAATAATGAAAAAAAAAAACTATGTATGTATATAAAATGTAATTATTTTCCAATTCAGTCTAAGCAGCATTGCCATGTTCTTCAGCTCAGTCTTGCCACTACGCACAAAATAAAAAAACAGAAACTTACTGATATCTGTTATTACGTGATTAAATGATAAAATGAGGTGCCGTGATCATCTAAGAAAGACTTGACATTATAAAGTTAGAAATAATTTCCTTGTCACGAGTATTACATTATGCCTACACCTGGCGGATCACAGATTTAAAAGAAGCGGAAGCTATGATCTTAATTTGATTTGGACTCTGAACAAAATACAAGCTCGGCGAGATTAGGCCTAAGGTGGAGAGAGACTCTCAAAATATTAGGTGCAATAACTTGGTTAAATGTTTCTTTCTTTAACTAATAAACCGTTTCCCTCTTTAATGGTAAAGGAGGGTCACAGAGAGGCCGCAGGGACTTGTTTCAAGGAGTGTATGACAAGTAATCGATCAACTGGCTGTAAATTCGACCGACTTGAACTTGAAATAAGTTTATAGGCAAAAATTTCTAATACATTTTTATTTTATAAACAGTACTTGAAAACGGGAATAAGACATGGATAGCAAAAAAACCGAACAAAAAAACACATGAATAAATGTTTCCATTAATGTCGTTTGTTTGACCTAAACTGACTGCAAATCTGAGAAAGAAAAACACATTTTAAATTATTATGAGCTCGAATCAACACATAAAAAATAAGATCTAACCTCAATCTCTCAGGGAGCTGAAATCAATTAACAAAGACATGAATGGCTGTTAATAAGAGAATCTGGTTCAGAGTTTGAATTATCGTATTTTTTAACGACATAGGTTTTTCTCTTTACTTTTTATTCTCACACCCATTTTATTTTTACGTGTTCTACAGAACTGAAATGTCAGCAACTCTTTAAATGCACAAATAGTGCCGAGCTCTCAGTTTTGCACACAAATGCTCGAGAAAAATGTAGAAAATAAAAGTGTTTATCTCGCATTTATAAGAATTCTGATAAATATTTAATGCTTTATTGACTAACATTAATAACCCAAATAAAAAAGTAATCCGATTGAAATGTTATTCATATATATATGTGGTTATGATGTTTTTTAAACATTTTTAAACAATTTGTATTCTTAACTGTGTAAGATGGGTTTCTGGCTCTTTGCTTCTGCAGTGTCGCCTGTAGTTCACTCAGCATTGTCACTTTAATTAAAAACAGTGTGTTCTAATGTCGGAGTGGGCACCCCCTCATCACTTTCCCTGCGCTGTAGGTGGTCGTGTATATTTTCGTTTAAGTGGTGTTTATGTGATCGAGAAGGGACGGGATTGCTACCAGACCGCTGATTGCGCGCGTTGGGCCACTATGTGGATTTGAAGTGTATTTGATGGGCACTGCCGTCTCCAGTAATCAGCTGCTGCAGAAATGGCTTTATGATCATTTAATTTCCCAGATAAGATATCGGTACTACAAAGAAAAGTAGTTACCTCTAATCTGCTCATCAAGACATGTTTTCAATATTTTTTCTAACCTCATCAATTCTGACAGAGATGTCCACAACTTTTATAGAAATGTTTGATTTTGCTCAAATTAAAAGGATGCACACAATCGCGCTTCCGTAGGTCCCTAGAGTATGACACTGAGCCGAAGTTACTTATATGAGCACTACTGATAAATCAAAGGATAAATCAATGTTTCCAGCCTGTGCGTCATGCTGAAGATATCGGAGTCTGATGGATATAAAAATGTGTAAGTAAATCTTATCTCAGTTAATTTGTGTTACCTTTCCCTCCAAAAAGGGAGGGGAGGATTTATTTAATCAGAAGATTAAATGTTACAGTGCGATCATTTTAATTGGAATTCGTAGAAGAGTGTGGAAACACAGCCTTGCTTAGTTGTTTTAAGTTTCCCATCGGTTACATTCTGGTGTCACGTCTCACATAGAGACATACAGCCACCTGCCTGCATCCGCCTCACACCCGCACTAATAGCTGTGTTGTTATCAATTCCTTCGATTCAGCTTTATTTCTGTAGCGCCACATCACAACACGATTTATCTAAGGGCATTCTAGCAAAATAATAACCTTCTATTGTCATGGAAGGTCCCCTGCAGAAAAAAAACTTCCTGCAGGACTAGAAGCGCAGAGAGGGGAGCATTAAAGGGGGAGAGCAGAGACAAAAAGATCAACTCGGAGAAACAGCAGACAATAAACATTGAGTAGGTTGGTCAGGTCAGTGACCTTGTCCTTAAACTTAAACTGACAGCTGGGAGTCCTCCACAGAGATAATAATACCGTACAGCATGAATTCAGATTGAAACCATGAACTGAATGAATTTGTTTTAGTTAAATTAACCCCAGGCATCGTTAGAATATCTTATACTGTAACTGTAAAATTAGTACTAGAGTCCTTTAAGCTTTTGGTCATCTGGTAATTCATTTTAGATTTATATGTTGGATAAAGGAGCATTTTTTTCTTTTTTTTGTCATTATCAGTTAACAGATAAAGAGGTTATCATACCAAAGTATGAGTCATTGGTTTAAAAAAACGCTATTGTGAGAACCCCAGGCTGCTCAGCGACACTTCACACGCCTTCCCGCAACTGTCCCTGGTGTGCCATATTGTCAAATTATAGACAGCCCACTCCCACTCCTGTTTTCTTTCTTTTTCTTCTAGATTCACTTGTTTGTCACATGTAAAAGCAAAATGGACCCTGTTTTTTTTTTTTTTTTTAATTGTCTTCTTTCGACATCCTCATGTCGAAGCATTCCTTTCAGACAATGAAAAAACAAGCATGAAAGCATATGTAAAATTCTTTCTGGTTTATTTTGTGATTATAAGCAGTACCACATAATTTGACATGAAGGACAGCAGTGGGGAGAATTTGGCAGGTCCGGAGCTTTCACAAATTCCTGACTTTCCAAATGTGGTTAGCACTTGTAGGGAAAATGCTTCAAAATTTTATATACCTGTATATAGCAGCAAACTGGTGTTTCGGTAAGTTTGTAACTTTTTGGATGTGTGTGTGTTTAAAAAGGAAGTCAAAAGGGCAGAATTCAAAGGAAAGAGAAAAATATTATTTAAAAATGTATATTGCATACAATAGACACACAATATACATTTTATTTACAAAGTTAAAGCATTCATGGTACGTTTTTTTAATGGCTCAGTGGCTGTTTTCATATTTAGTTCTGTATTAACGCAATTTCTCTTATAAAAATATTTCACAATGTTCCTTAATATAGTCAATTTTCAATGATTTTCATGCATTATTTTTTTAAATAATATTTTATTTTGGTTTCTTGAAAACATTATAATCAAAAGTTTAATTACAAAAACAATACATTGCAAAGCTTGTCAGAGTAATAGTAAGATTGGCTATTTTGGTGAATAAGAGATGATTAAAGCAGCAGTTACACTAGCAAAATATTGAATGACAGCATGTGATATTTCTCAAAGTTTCCGGTTTCCTTCAGTGGGAGTGATGGTGTGTGGTCTTCATATTTGTTTACTTTCCTTTTAGTAAAGCTTTATTTAAATGCGTAGAATATTTAAACTAGGACATACTTGTCGTCATCATGCATGAGTGTTCCTCAATAGTTCTGTTTTTTTGCATTTAAGTTAATTTAGGGCTCAGTGTGATTCATCCAAAGCTGCTTTGTGTGTTAATTAGCTTTTATTCATGATAAAAGTATCTATTTGATTCAAAGCCTTGATTAAACGCATTATACTTGAGGCAGTATGATCTTTTGTTTCTTGTGTGACATTATCTGGTGGATTTTTTAAAAGTCGCTGCACATCGTTTTGTGCTCAACATAAAAATGACATTTTTTTAGACGCTTTCCTGCATCACGGCCTTACTATTTCTCTCTCTCCCTCTATTTTTTTTTAAAAAGAAAAGACTCAATCCCACACAGTGAGTTCGAGCCTGTTTGGTGCCCCACCCTGGAGTCCTGCACACCTCCCAGGGTCGGTCCATCATGGTCTGTCTAATGCAGGCAAAGACATCAATAATGAGAGCTGAAGCAGAAACCACAGCGGAGAACACAAAAGAGAGAGGGAGGGCGCACACAGGCCACAATTGGCTCTGCTGCAGGTTAGCTTCTTTGATATTGCCTTGATTTCAGTTTGATGGGTGCACATGGGGCGACATGGGTTTATACGTATGTGTTTACATAATATGTATGGTGTTTACGCACAGCCCACCGACTCTTTTTTTCTTTACTCTGAAGGGGGATTTTCCTGTGGCAAGCTGCTTCGGAAAAAGCAATTAAGAATTCCCAAACAGTACACCACAATGGGAGATATCGTTTGTGCAATGTGTGTTCCATGTCCCTCACAGTTTTTGTCTGGAATGGGTTGACTATTTTTAATCTGCACATAACCGAATCCACCTACAGACAAACCACAAATTGAATGAAGGGGAGGGGGATGAGTGGGCACTGTAATTGCCTATTGTGGAGCTCAAACTCCTCTGTTCTGCCATAAACAGCTTTTGGTAGTTCACAACTTGATACCCAGTGCTCTTGAAATGAGGGCATATCCTTGTCGTCTGTGGGAACCCATTGCCAGGCAGTGGTTGGAATCAGTCAGGAATGCTTTGGGATGGTAACTGGATTCAGTTGTAATGCCCAGCTCTCCACAGCGGAACACTAGGGTGGGAAAAAGGCCGGGAGCATTTCCTGAGTGGAGGGGGGTCCCAGCGAAGCATCACGCGGATGGGCATCATGTGACAGAGACCCTGCCAGGTTTAGGCTGTGATCCCAAGTGAAGAGAGGAGTAGAGATGAGTACACCCGTTAGGAGAGGTGTGGTTGGTGCGGTAGGCAGTGCCAGGGAAATAAATGAGAGGACAGGGAGAGGCTGGAATGAAGAAAGAAGCTTAAATATTGTAAGTGCAATGTAGTGTAACCCCTGAAGGACTAGTCAAGAGCTCAATAAGAGAAGGGGGTAAATTGGTGGCATCTGTCTGAATTATTTATTTATTTATTGTGAAAAATGTGAATTAATTTGTTAAATAGCCTTTTTAAATTGTTAGAAATTATTTAGAGATTCATTTTTTGTGTTGAATTTTTGTATTTGTTTAGGTTCGCCTTCATTCATGTTTTGAGTTTAGCTGCTCACAAAATATGCAAAACAACAGTAATGTTTCATACAGCCAAATCAAATAAAGAAGCTCCTCCCTTATTCAGATGGGGTCACCACAGTGGGTAGCTCCACGTGTTTGATTTGGCAGGTTTTATACAGCGGAGGCTTTCCTGATGCAATTCCTAAGGGATTTGTGTCTCTTCCCAGGTCAAGCAGGGATCTTTTTCTTGTTGGGCAAATGTGTAGATCACTGTGCTATGGAGAAGTTTGTAATTTTTTAAAACTGTGTACACAGCAGGGAGGTTTTAACAGCCTCATTGGCTCACCACCAGAAGTTTTGCATTTAATGAGAGGAAGCGTGCTTGAAAAGAAAGTGTCTATGATTTCAAAATGACCAGGTTATTAACAAACAGTCCTCAGCACACTGCAAATCACTGCCCAAGTCTCCAAGGGGCAATGGCATCAGATTCAGTAAATTTTGGTACATCTGTTCACAATAAAAGGCCATGATCGCCTCTGAGTTTTTTAACTGTAAAAAATGAATGCAGTCAGTCCAACTATTTATTTATCTTTTGAAATTTAACCTCAGTGGAGACCACTATAAAGTATGTGTCTGTGTGTGAAGGCAGATGCCTGTGTGTTTTGATTTGACTAAGTTATTGCTCTGAGATGAAGGGGGTGTGACCTATGTGGCAATCTGTGCAAATTGTGTGACAGAAAAACACAACAGAACAAATATTGTTGCACAAGAAAAAAAAAAAAGAAAGAAAAGGAAAAAAATAGCAGTTTGTTTGTTCATTTCCCTTCCTGAATTTGATAATGCTTTCATCTCCAAACTCAACTGCAACAAACCACATTTTAAAGCCACTATAACGAAGCCAACAGATGTTATTTTAACGGTGTTTGTTTAAGCTCAACGCACCACTTACATGTTCGTTTGGACTTGAGAAAAATAAGAGTGTGAATCCGTCCATCCGTCTGGCTCTGTGTCTGCTTTTCTGTGCAGTCAGTGGCTGCATCATTGTTGTTTTTGCATGCTTCTTGCAGCTGCCTATGCCACTGATACATGTATTCATGTATCAGTGTATACGAGAGTCTCGCTGACTAAATATTGGTGTGTATATGTGTCCAGCCTGGTGCTGGCAACCAGACATTGCTCTCTTTGGCTTGTGTAAATGTTGTGGTGATCTTGGGAAGAATCTTACCTTATGGTTGTCAAAGGGCTTTTTATTTCCACCTGCTACCGGCCTCTTTCCGCTGGTCTGCTCTATAACAATGGTACTGCGAAAGCTGCGGAGTTTAAAGTGATTTATGTTAGACTGTATTTGGCCCTTCTTCAGATTGGGGCCTGAAAGGAAGTGGCTATCCCTCCCTTCCACCTTAAATACCCTGCAGGCTTCAAGACCTGATCAGGACTTTCTTAGGCATCTCATTTTAACAAAGTGCCAATGTGCTCAAAAGACTAGCTGGCAGGTGCAGAAAAACAATGTTTTCAAGACTTATAAGTCAATTTACCAGCACATAAAACACAATGTAGTTCATTTCTGCAATACACTCAAACCCAGATTTAGCCCCTCCATCCTTTCTCTAGCCATCACTCTTTTTTCTGGTCCTGTCATGGGGGAACGAGATACAGCCTCATCCCCACTGCATTCTTTCCATTTTGCTGAAGAGGAGCGTGGCAGAGAAGGCAATCTATCACCCAAACTGTCCGTCCATCTCTCTCCCTACTTCTAACTGTGTTTCTCTTTCTCCTTCCTCTAGGCTAGAGTGGGCAGGCATGCGGCTTTGGCCACAGGAAGCTGTGAATTCTTTGGAGAATGGAAGATGTCTGATGGAGAGACATACTGGCCCACCACCCACCCACTCACCACCTCAAAATGACCCCTGACCCTTTTCATGTGTTTATATCAGACCGTGGAAGTGAGAAATAGTGATGAGTCACTCTGGCTGTGTGTTTACACTCTGGAGTCACGCAAGGAAGGAAATCAGCCACGGTCTGCTAAAAGTGGCGAGGTGAGAGAGAATAGCTGCAGTCCCGAGTGCTGCAGTGATTTACCTCAGAGCCAGAATTTGCTTCGTGTCATCTCTGCTGTGAAAACTTTCAACCTGCAGAAAAGCACAGTAGACCTTTGTGGAAGAAAAGGGCCAAAACAAGTAGTAGCCACTGGGGATAGGTGTGCGTATGAGAGAGAGATACGGCATATTTCAGGAAACATAACAGTTAGAATAAGTAAGATAATTATTTCAGCAGAATGCATCTCATTGAGATGTTACAGAGTTCTTAATATGTTGGACTTTTGTGTTTTGTTAGAGATGACCACGTTTAATTTAATTGCACTTTAATCATTCTCACACCTCACTGTGTTTAAACGAAAACCTACACTCGCACACATTCACTTTGTTTTTAAGAAGAGCTGTTTTTAAAACTCATCACTGCACATTTAACTGTGTTATTCATCTTTCACAAATATTTTTTAGGAGTATTAAATAACTAACTAAAACTGCTATTACACTTTCACCTGGCATTGTTTTGAACCAGGAGTTTATGCGATTGAGTTTTTGCAGTCGATGATTTTCAAAAGAAAAAACAAAGCAGCAAACATTTGAAAACCCTTAATTACTTTGCAGCATATTTTAACATTTTACTTGAATATTTCAAATGATCTCACCCTCCTAATTGTCTCCAGGTTGGACAATATCCCAAAAAATTATAAGATTATTAAAATACTTGATGTATAAATGTGATTTCTTTTATTTTTAAAAGCAAAGCAGATTACATGAAAGCAAAAAAGAGTCCATTCTAATGACTACAGCGATATACGGGTGTGAAAATATTTCATAAAAGTACAAAGTTAGCCGGGTGTCTGGGTGACATATTTTTACTGATATGCATAAAACAATTGAAATCTGAAATGTAAATTTCTGGTGGAAGACAAACATAACACTGTTCGCTGGTCTTACTTCATCATTGCCATCAAAACCAGTTGTGTTGTGCTCAGGAAGCCTTTATGTTCAGTGCACTGTAAGGTGTGTTTACTGTGGCTTCCACCAGTGTTTCAACCACAGTGTCATTGTTGTCCTCCACTGTGCGTGACTTTAGCTTTTAAATTGCACAACTGTTGTTTGCGAGACAGAGCTGTAGTTACTGCCGCTGTGCTCTGTAAATAAAAAGTGACACTTTATTTCTTCCTGTCATTGCACTGGTGCAAGTACCTTCATTGCTGACTGCACCGCGTATCCTTTTACACACCCCCGTACACACCGCCACAATGAGAGAGTCAGCAGCTCTTATTTTGGCCGATCTCTCCTGAATTGTAAGTCCTGTCAGGGGTTTTGATTGATAGTTGCATTTATCACCATATTATTAAGTAATCAGGCTCACCACAGCTGGGCCTGAAGCTCCTTAATTCTAGCTAAAGTACACAACTTCATGCTAATTAAAGGTTTGGTAAACCTGTTTATTTTCGTGAATTTTTAGAATATAGTTGTGTGTGTTATTATGTGTTTTAAGTGTGCTGATTATTGCATTTGTATGCTCTCAGGAACATTTAGAGCCAAGCTTTACTGCTTCATGTTCATAAGAAAAACTGTGAATAATCACATGTGGAGAGAAATAATTCATGCTTCATATGCTGCATGTAGAACGTAGAATATTCTGCATTAGTAAAAAAAAAAATCCACAAAATGACTACGAGGGAATGAGACTAAATTCTGTAAATAACACAAGAGGGTGAAGCAGTCTGTGTTCTGTGGATCAGGAGAGGTTTGGTCTCGTTTTCTTAATAGAGCCTGCAGTGAGCTGCATTTGTGTATTCCTGAGGTAAACACAGTCATGGCAAAGTGGACGCGCTGCTGAGTGTGTCCTGACTGGAGACAGAGAGCACTGTGACACTGTACTTTCTGAGACGCTGGCAGCTCTCTCGAGGTAGGGTTAATTTGATGAATGGCCATTTGCTAATGGGCCATGTATTAGGGTGAAAAAGCTCCTTTAAAAGCCATAGTTTGAGTCGTTTCTATGGGCAATTTGATTTAGAAATCAATCAAGTGGCAGATGTTCCATGTTGCATCAGTCAACTTTGTCCTATACGCTTGCTTTTTACTTGATATGAATTGCTTGAATGACTGTGTGCAGTAATCAAAGCAGAACATAATTTCATATAAGTTAAAACATCAGTGAGGCCATACCTTGATTTTAAAAAGCAATTCGTTTTAGCTATTGTATATGTAAACTGAATAATGTTAAAAATGAAATATATAATCTTATTTTTTTCTTTACCACCTCCTTAAGACTTTAGTACTTGCAGCGTTAAGTTGTCCACAGGGAAGAAACGCAAGCTGGAGTTCCAATAAAGTTAATTTATGTTTTCTGTATATTCTGAATGTTTTTTTGTGCAGTAAGCTAAATACCTAAAGTGGAAAGACTGACAAATATATATACGTAAAGATTTCGTTGTACTTATCTGCAATAACAGTAAAAAGCTTTGTTCTTTTTTGTCTCTTTGATGCAGATTGTGTGTGTGTGTGTGTCGCAAAACTGTAATAATAGTGACACTAATAATTATATATAAAAATATTAAACATATGGCTGCTGGTGTTTGTGTAATAATTGATCCCGTATTTGTTACTATGCTTCTGTTTTTATATGTTTTATGAAAAAAAACTGAACGGCTATTTTGCAAAAATTGACAAAGTTTCCATGTTTTCACCAATAAATGTCCAATTTCTGCACAAACTTGAAATGCTGGTTGTACATTTTTGATATTTACCCTCCTTTCTCTACTTACAAAATCCACACATGAACAGACGACTAAATAAGACCTACTAATGGTGAACTGCAAGGCAAAACTTCAGTCAATAGCTTCTTTTTTTTCTACATACGGTAATCTTTTGCGTATGAAACCACTTAATCAGAGTTAAATTTAGCATTAGAGCCAAATTCAAGTGAACAACCACTTAAAGACCTTATGATGACTTCTCTGGTTTTCTGTGGTAGGGTGTAGCGCACATATGATAAACATTGCCAGATACAAATTCAGAAATATTGAAGCTGCTGGTGGTCCTCATTTTTATTTATGTTAGCTTTTTTTCCCAAAGAATTGTAGGTCAGTGTTTGTACTGTCCAGTTTTCCAGCTACGTAGACCTTGCAACTGAATGACACTTGATCAATAAATAATAGCACTGCTTATCCGTGATATACAACAGGCTCGAGCGCTTGTGTTGTCTGTGACCTTGGACCTAAGTTTGGCTAAAAGCAGATTCACACTGGCTTATCAGTGTTTCTGCAGAGGTCGTGTGAATCAGAAGAGCTCAGACATTCTTAAAATATATATTTTGAATACTGAAAAAAGTAGAAATGATCAGATGGATTGTAGTTGTACCGCTGAAATTAAAGCCGTTCAGCAGGAATCTTGAACATGTCTTTTTCATTGGTGAATATGTGTCAGTAATGAAGTGCAGAACTAGTTATATAGCATTATCTAGTTTAAAGCAACAAATACTCAGCAGTGTTTATCTAAAAATCACACTGTAGTGGATTGTACTTACAATCACTTCTGTCCTTAATATTAAGCAGAGAGTGACAGACACTCAAGATGTTAATTTTCCAGGAGGCCATGTGCCATTTCTCCATGTCCAAAACGCTTTATCTCAGGTGTTGGTAAGGACAGACTGAGAGACAGACAGCCACATGGTTCTACTTTTGCCTGCTAATTCCAGGGAATCAATCCTAAATGACACCTATGGGATACACAGAGTGGATTTCTCTCTGATGCAGATTGGTGGTGGTTTGCAGATGAAAGACAGTAAAATAAATAAAGTTGTGGCAAGCAGGCAGAACTCTTCTGTCCACACAGTACAACCATAATGGGATACATGCTGACATGCGGGAAGAAGTGGAGGCCTGCTCCTGTTTTCACCGCTGTTGCCATGGAAATGCTGATGGACTGCTGCTGCTCGTCCTAAATATCTCTGTTGACATTTGTTTTGAAAAACATTCTGTTTTTCGCTTTCAAAGGGTCGGAGAAAGTTACCAAACAAGTAGAATAATAGTGATTAGCAGAAGGCAGCTCTGTTTGCCGTTAACCTCTCAGCTTGCTGGTACTCTTTTAATCCTAAAACACGTCATTAAATCAAACTCAGCAGTATCAAATGGCTTTTTAACCTCCCCTAATTAATCTTTTCATCAGCTGCTGTGTCTGCGGTTGGCCTGAAGTAAGAATGGTAATGGTAAGGCAATCCTTGCTTGACTCATCCAGGCTGGGATCATACATGATACTCCTATAAGTTACTCCGAACTGCTTTCCCCATTCATTGTGTTGCACAATACAGGACATTTCACTCTTGTTGGGGTTTTTTTGCATCTCTATTTGAGCATGGCTTAAATTCAACTCCTACTGCTTATTGTGCTTACTGTTGAACTGTATTTGTACTTATTGTACTTGGTCTGCTGAAGGGGAAAGTGTGTGCTCAATGCAATGGCTGTATAAATAGGACTGTTTTGTGAACCATTTTGAAACCAGTCACCGTTCCATATGCAAATAGCATATATTATATCATGTAAAAATCTGCAGCCTCCAGTATGCATATGTTGAGAATGGACTTTTCAGAGACGTCAGACCTCTTCAACATCTACTTATTTATGCTATGATGACAAAGAACTAGAAGAGGCAACATTTAAAAACATCTGTCTAGGTAATTGCAAATTCTTGTGAGGAAAAAAAGCCATTTTAATTCAAGCCAAGCCAACTTGGGGGATTTTTATAGAACTTCATATGTGTCCATGGGGAATCTTTAAAACTGAAATGGACTCGTTAAAAAGGTAGAAGCAGTTACACAAATGTCCCTCTTATTGGCTCAATAATTAGCAGCAAATAGCCTGCAGATAACAGAGGGGCATTATCAAGTTTTTGTCACTGGTGCCACTGAAGTGATTTATTCAGATTCTGGTCAACTCCCGTCTGATGCACTTTAACAAATCACAGCCTGGGGACTAGCAACCCCCCACCCCACTCACCTCTGTCTCCCTCTGACCCCCACACACTCACAGTGACAAGGTCTAACACTGCTATCACCCAAAGTCAAGCCATCCTACACTTCAGGCACAAAAAAAAGAAAAGAAAAAGAAAACAGTAATGAGACTGTTATCTTTGGAAAAGTGATGTAAAAGCTGTGTCACAATGCTAAAATTGTTACCTTCATTCCTCATGTAAACATATTATTAACTTTTGCAAGAAGCCAAAAAGTAGACTCATTTATTTACAAGAAACAACATTTTATTATGAAAAACTGCGAGCTTTTTTAAAAAAATGATTAAACTGTCTGTGACCACCAGCAGTACTGTGTGACCCAGGGGCTCAGGGTGATAAGACCTCCATAACTCTACTTTATCCCCCTGCTCATTATCAACCTCAATCCCAGATCTGCCCTGATCCCTGAGGCTACAGCAGGACAGGCTGCTCTCTACCTTCCTCTGCCTGAAGATAATGCGGGAGACGCACAGGCTGAGTTTAACTAACGTCAAGCACTTGACAGCTTCTTTCTGTGGGAGGTATTTTCCAACAATAAAGTGTAAAGGTTGATGCGTTTCAGGTTATGGACCTATTGTCAAACAGGTAATTTATCATGGAAAGTGATTTAAAACGATGCAGTTATATTATAATCTCAATGGCTTTTGATTTTTAGTTTGAACTCCACATTAATGTCTGCTGTAAAATGAGAATTCGCTTTGAAGCTTTGATTTCTTTGGCTTTTTTGGATTCCGCATCTAATTATTATCATGATCGATGCAATGAAAAATATCAAAATGTAGTGCTGTGTTGGAGGATCCTGCTCCTCTCAAATTTGGCTTTTTACAAGGGGACTTATTGCACTTTGTATTGGAGACCAATAAATGTCAATAAATTAACACAGTATGATTTTTTTTCCATCTCATGCTGTTATTCCTGGACTCTTTGTCTGCCACATGGCACACCGCACGTACTTTTCATCACTTTCTTTAATCGGCAAAACAGCGGACTGTTTAAATTTATTTAGCTTTCTAGTCCCTCGAAGAGGGTTTTTATGAATTGAACCACTGTCTTATCCACGAAACATGATTGATGTCTTTCACATTAACCTGCTAATATTGTGGCTTCAAAAATGTAATTTCTTGCTAAAGTTTCTTCTAATGGCGACACGTCAACATTTGCGTGTTTTCTTTACCCAGTCTCTGAGTCGCATTCAAATAACGTTGTATTCTGTGCTGGGTTTTTCATTTGATTTTTAGCAAGTATTCTCGGCACATATAACTGTGTGCTCCCCAAGAGCTGCGTGTGCGTCTGTTTTGGTGCGTCCGAGGATTTCCTTCAGCCTTTCGGCTGCTTTGTTTATGCATCCAAGTTTATATATGTGAGGGAGAGTTCATTTCAGCATGTCTGTGTGTGCATGCTTATGTTTCTGTGTGTATGTTTTATATTTGGTGTGAGAGGCACGGTGATGGACATGACTAAAGTTAATGGAGTTGCGTTCTTACAACAGTCACTTGCATACTCTCTGCCTGATGACCAGTCAAATATTTAGTAATATGATGACAAGGATATTCTGATTATGTCAGAGCTAGACAAACAGCTATAAATATATTGTGAAAATTCGATATTTGTAATGCTGTGCCTTGCATTTTTATCAGATATGCTCGTTACAAAAATAACCCAAGGGCAAGAGAGGAATGAGATGTCAAGAATAAGTGATTCATACGTTTCATAATTTTGCAGAGACAAACTGGAGCTGTAACATTCGTTAAATTGAAATTTCACCCGGAGACACAAAGTTTTGTGGTAAAAAAACAACCGCCGCATAATTATCATTAAACCAAAGATGTATTTATGAAATGTTGAAATGTATGAATGTAATGAAATGTACCATGGAAATCGTAAAACTAAAGGGCCTTACACACATCATACTTCAAAGAGATGTTGCAAACTGCTGCAGTATTAAATATTTATTTTTTGACATACGTTAAATGCAGATTTGTTGCACTTGTGTTAAGACCTTATGAACAATGCTTTGACTAAATGAAAACCTTTGCTTTTGACCATATATAAATATATTTTGTTTCAAATTGTGGAAGTAGAATGAACAGATTCAGAGTTGTTTAAAGGAAAGCTGCTCAGCAGTTATGCTGCAGTTGTATTTTTGAAGCAACATTGTCCGTCTATTCTGTTAGAGAGAAATGTGAAAGTGAAGGAGCGTTACTAGAAAGAGCTTGGCAGACACGGCAGAGCAAAGTAAAACCCTGGACAATATTCCTGCTTCATGCCTGAAAATCAATAACCCAGACTCCGTTGGTGAATGCACGCGAGAAAGACCCCACACAGCGGCAAACTTCTCCCTTTCCGCTCCCCCCTCACTTCTCAATCTTCCCCCTCTGCACGATTCGTCTGTCCTTATCCACTCTTTTTTAATTTTTAATTTTTTTTTGCTTCGCAGTTGATGTCTCTCTCTTCTCATTTATTGCACTCTTCAACAAGCTGGGTTGCAGAACACCAGTGAAAGGATCCTCGGAAATAGCTGTAAAATGATTCATCAGCTGGCTGACCTTTACCACATGCATGAATTTTTGTGAGTGCACGTGCATATGTAAGAGAGCAGAGCCAGGAGCTGGGAGAGGGCGGAGACCTGCAAATTTCTTGTTTTTAATTTCTGAATTGGCTCTTAACCAGGGGTCAAAGGTTGGCTTAGCACAACA